GCATATGCAGTGGATCTGCCTTGATTGGAAGACAGATATTGTAATGTCCGTTTTTCATCTCAGCAGAATGTGAAACCATGGAGATAAATTGGTGGTCATCTTTTGACATTTCAAGCTCTTCTGTTAATCCAGCATCAGGAAAATCTTGTTTAAATTTTAGCTGCCAGAGCTCCTCCAATCTAGCAACTGAAATCCTGTTTACAGACACTTTAGTCCATGTATCAGTTTGCCTGGACTCTCCTCCGCCTCTGAGCGGTCCGTTTATTGTCCAGCCGAGTAACGTTCTCACAGTGTATGGTCCATTATCCACACTTTTCACCACTTGAAGTGGTTCCATAGCTTGAGCAACATTTGCTCCGATGAGCAATCCGATTTCAGCTTGAATAACAGGGATTTTCACTTGTTTCAGATGCGGCCAGTTATTCACATCTTCTTGACGGGGGATGTTCTCTTTGTTTACTGGAATCAGCTTTTGTGAGTAAACTTCTGACAACTGTATGAAGCGTTCACAATCCAGACTGCTGACTTCTAGTCCATTCACAATACAAGTATTAACAGATTCTTGTCCCATTTTTCTTAATAGAATACTGGTGTTATGTCCATTCATGTTCAACTCATTAATCAGTGTCTCAGTAGCAAAAGTAGCAGTACTTCCGGGATCCAGAAAAGCATAAGTCATGACTACTTTTGTTCCTTTAACTGCTTTAACACACACTGGAACAATAGAAAGAGTGCAGTCCTCTCTACCGGCCCCTGTGCGACTACGAGCTTCCAGAGTCTGCACCAGCCCACTTGAAATGGTTTGCTGCTCGTAGCTATCCTTCATGTTGTCTTCTTCTTTGGGTTTAATGTTTATGTGCAGTAAATTGGGATGCGGTCACGCACATTCCTGACAAGATGACTTCTCTTTACAACTTTTGCTCATATGTCCATGTTTCAAACATCTTCTCCTTGTGGGATTTAACTTTGAGCTTTCTACAGTTGGCCAGACTGTGACTCTCTCCCTTGCAATAAGCGCAGGGTTTGCTGTTTGCATCCACAGGTAAGTTTGATGTTTGATTGGTGGAAATTTTCATTTTATTATACTCCACAGACGATGGAACATGTTGTCAAAAAAAACCCCTTGACAGACGTGTTCAAAGTTGATGCAGAAACAAGACGAAGATTTCCAAGTTTAACATCTGTATTTAATTTATCTTTCCAATCAGATACAGAAATTCAACAAGCTCCTAAACTATGCCTGCTCTCTCCCTATGGCTTGCCCTGTCCTGACTGAGCTCAAAGACCTTGAGGAAGGTTAATGTAGGAGACTTCCGATGACGTCATCTCTATGCGCCTCCCAAGGGTTTCCTTCCGGGTGTGCTGGCGTCCCTTGTCCACTGGGGGGCGTCAGAACGCCGTTGGTGAATTCCCCAGTCTGCTAGGGAGACCAAGTTGAACTTTGATCTCGCCAGAGAGAGCGAGATCATTGTTTTATTCATGGAGTCAATGTGCAAGAAGAAGGGGCATGTCGTATCAGGCAGCTCTGGTCCCGCAGATTAACTATCATTAACTATTTCCTGCCCTTCTGGACTGCAAGATAGGAAGACAAGGTCTTTTTGAATTAAGAAAGAGACAGAGGTCAAACAGTCATTATTGCCACATCTGTTTAGTGTATTTTTCTAATACAACATTCCCTCTCTTGGCCGCTCTTAAAAAGGCCACACTGTTCAATAACCCTTCTGGGTAACGGGATTGGGGAGATCCTCCAATACCAGCATCTTGTGCTCAGTTCAGGCTCGATATCTGCGAAGAGTCAACACAGACAGAATACAACACACAACAAACCACATTTTAACCATTCCTTCAATACTATTTGATGACTACTGCTGTGTCATTCTGATTCTTCATCTACCTCGTCTGTAATGTATGCACTAAAACTATTCACTATAGTTTAAACTATTCTAATCTATTTACAAATATGTGTGCATATTTGCTCTTATTGAGCCATATTCTTAAACATATGTTTTAATCTAATAAATCTCTCTATACTGTGGTTTCCTTTCATTATCCTTGGCCTATTGTCAGTGGGATTTTGCTCCATGTATTTTCTACATTCTCAGGAACAAAACTGAACACAGAGAAACAAATGGTTAATATGAACATCATTATGATCAGTTTACCAAATCCATTTGTTGAACCAGGAAGTGCTGTCACTTCCTCCTTTATGGCAGTTTTGGGATGAATATACATCATTAATCAAATTGGTATTCCCCTTACAAGAGCTAATCTCTTTTAATAATAATAATAAATTGGTTTTATATAGCGCTTTTTGAGAAACTCAAATACGCTTCACATGTGTCATTATTCATTCACTCCATACACGGTGGTGATAAACTACTACTGTAGCCACAGCTGCCCTGGGGCACACTGACAGAAGCGAGGCAACCAGTATGTGCCATCGGCCCCTCTGACCACCACCAACCATTCACACCAGACTCATTCTAGGCAATGGGGGTGAAGTGTCTTGCCTAAGGACACAACGGCAGTTTGGCACTTTACAGCCGCAGCCGCCCCACTGTGGCTGGTGTTCCCAGAGGTTAAGTGTCTTGCCAAGGGCACAACAACAGTAGTCAGTGGGAGTCGATGGTGAATGTCTTGAGCGGGGCTTGAACCCACAACCTTCTGGCTCAAAGGCCAACGCTCTACCAACTGAGCTAATCTGTGCTGACAAATCGACAGCTTTTAAAATTCTCAAAAATATCTAAATATCTACTTTTGTGCTATACCCAAATTCATCAAAATGCTTTTAAATGTTTTTGAATCTTTGTGGTTCTAATTTATCTCATTAATCTAAGCTACACTCATGAACTTCTTGCATTGTCAACATTCACAGATGTTTGAAACAAGTGAATTTGACAATATCTAATAGAACTGTGCATAAACTGTAATGAACTATCTACTTTTGAAGTAAATACTTTTGGACATATTATGAAGGAAATGGTCCTTTTACCGTTTGATATTAGCCCTGGCTAAAAATAATCTCTATTTTTGAAAGCATCTATTGTTGATGCATTTATCTATTTCTCTATAATTTGACATTATTGATACTTATTTTCACAATAGAACTATTTTGATTATTCACTAGTCTAACTATTATTACTATTGTTTATTCTGACACCTCTTCTTAGCGACACTTTAACCTATAGCTCCTTGAATCCAATGACATTATAGCTCCAGACTATTTCATTCTATTCTTATCTTATTATTATATGATCTATTATCTTAAAGAGTAGATCTGTTTGATGTGTGCATTATAAGCGCTATTATTTCTCCTTTTGAATTTGCACAACAATAAAATTATAATGACCCACTGTGGGACAAATACGTTTTACACTTCTTTCTGTTAGAAGGTTAATATAAAAGTCTGAAGAACAAAAACCACTGCATTCAAACTAATTTTGTCCAAGTTCTCATCCAGCTCCAGTTTGGTTTCTTTGTGGTGAAATAAATAATGAATGATTAGTTGTAGTTAGTAAGAAACACCAGCTCTAGATAAAGTGAACGACAATGAAATGTTGAAAAGTGTAATCAGTAATTTACATTTTCCTCCTGTTGAAATATGAACAAAAGTGGAACAGAATAATCTCTAATGATGGATTTTTGGATTGATTCAGTTTATTTGTCTTGTGTCTCATTAAATGTTATTGAATCATTAGAATATAAAACAAATACATTCAATCAGTTCCAACTATTGATTAATCATTGTGTTTGAAATGATCTGTATATTGATTATGGTTAGATTAGTTATATATGTTATTTAGCTTCAGTCATAAAAAGAATGACATAAACTGGACACTTGACATTTTTCGATTCATTTTAAACAATATCAGAAGAACTTGTATAAAACCTTATGGCTCTATGAAGATCATTATTATTTTGAGTTAAAAATGTCAGTTTATTGTCCAAAAAGAGCATTTATAAATAATGTGGTTTTTCAAATGAGTTTGACGTATTTTGTCTCGTATCAAAATTGAGTTATAAATTCAGTATCGTGACAAGACTAAGATGAACCCGAGCTAAACCGGGCCACACCAGGACATTTGAGGAATGATCCTTTCACCTTAATATTGTGTAAAGAAACTAAACACAAAGGATGAGGACAGTGGGTCTGTGTTTTATATTATTGTGTTTATTTAATAACAGTGGATCCTGTTCTCTCCTCAGTCTGTCCTTCTGTCGTCTGTCTCATCTCTGCTGTGAGTCTCTGGCCTCGGTCCTCGGCTCCTCTGCTCTGAAACACCTGGACCTCAGTAACAATGACCTCACAGACTCAGGAGTGGAGCAGCTGTGTTCTGGACTGAAGAGCGCCACCTGCAGACTGGAGGTCCTCAGGTGAGTCCTGCTCCATGTTTCACACAGTTTAAGAAGACATAATAATAACATAAAAAGATGGATAACTTTTCAAAACAGTGAGGATCTAATTAGGACCTTTCCCAAAGTCCTTTAACCTTTACCCAAATCTATAAACTGTAAACTTAATGTGACGTGAGGGTGTGAAAGAAGGGAGATTTAACAGTTCCAGCAACGCCAGGTGGTCTAGGGACCACCCAAATAATTGGTATAATAAGGCCGCACAAGTTGTGGACATAGGAGACGCGAGACTGTACTTACAAAACAGTTCACAAGTTTATTTTCACAATTATAAGTTAAATACATCAAATAGGCCTTTAATGGAAAAATTGTTAAAATGTATTTCTTAAAATGGTGGCAACTCAGGACACAAGGACAAAAAGAAACAAATAGCAATGTAAATGAACCAAGTCATGCAATAAAAGAAAACAAACTGCAAGCCATGCAAAAAAAGCCAACAAAAGAAAAAGCCAAGCAAAAAGCATGCGAAGGCAAAATAAATCAACACCAAATCAAGATAAACTCACCAAACCACTCAGAATAACCTAAATAAACAAAAAGAAAGATTATTAACGAAGGTCCGGGTGCCACAGGACATGCCCTTTAAACTAGAGCACTCCAGCGCTCGTGCACGCTGTAGCGGTGTGATCCGAGCCAGGAGGCCACACGTGAGCGCGCTCCAGCGTCTCCAGAGACATGCGAGACAGAGGTGGACAGAACAGCGGCTGCCTTTCAGAGTGGTAGCCCTGGTATAGACCACACGTGGAGAGAGCCTGAAGGACAGGCACAAATCTTAACATTGTAATTAATAACTAGACTGTAGTTTTTTTTTAGCTTACCTGCCAGTGAAAGGCACGCACTCACGGCCAGTGGGAGGAGGGAGAGAGCCGGTTTGGATACCAGACTTGTCCCAGCTGCAGCTCAGGGGCAAACAGGTTTACGCTCAGCTTTGGCTTTGAGAGCCAAGAATGAAAAGACGGACAATGAGCGATTTACCTCGATTGTGGAGCACCCAAACTCGCGGCAAAAGCCAAAGCGCTTCTCCCACGCGCTCCAGCGGCCTCCAACCAAGTAAAGCTGACGGTCACCAAACGTGCGACCACCGCACCCAGGCCAAGACTCATGTGCGCGCGCCGAACACGCACCTGCTTTTAATGGGCTCCACAAGTCCAAGCCAATCATCTTTCAGTGCGGTGTTGTCTAGGGGAGCTGGAAATTAGCGAGCTGCAGGTATTTATCGCGACCTAACGTCATATTTTGTTCTACAAACCGTAATTGATATGCTTTCACTACAGGCGCCTCATACAATTGAATCGACGCAGTTGTCACACTGTGTGCCGTGTTTTAAAGAGGAACTGGTGAGTCAAACTAGCGCTAGCCTGCGCTGCTCTGTTGGCTCTTTCCTTATATTTTTCTGTGTGGGCGCCGAGGCCTATTATTATGAGTATGTTTTTGCGCTGTGCTCCTCCTGCTAAAGTTTGCATACATTAGATAGTTGTTTTGATTATGTGCACTAAGCTAGATTAATATTTCCACTATTGTTTATGGTGCATTGATATGAGAATCAGTGCTTTGACTGATTGAATTAATTTATATGAGACATTTTATTATGTAATGATATATTGGTAATTATGAGATATTACTAATGCTGGTCCAGTTCATACAGGCCAGGTTCCTTCCCCTCCATTGGTCCCTTCAGTCATTTGGAACAATAACCACTATGGACATTAAACTGATTATATAGATACAGGTCCTAGCCCAATACTCATATTCATATATGCTGCACTGCTGCACTTGCTACTTCCCATTAAAAACCCCAAAGATAAAAAGTATGTTGACACGGACTGCTCTGATTTTATGTGTGGTCTGTGCATGTGTAACTGAGCCTGCATCTGGCACAACATCCAATTAGATCACATAGATAGTTTTGATTTATCAGCAGACAACGACATGGAACAAACTGTTAGTCCATGGGTCAGAGACCAACGAGAATGCACCAGCAAAATGATTCCTAACATTATTTTGTTTGCCTACAAAAGTACGTGGAGACCAACAAGAAACAAATCGCGGTCAAAAAGACTCGAGAGGACTCGAAAGTCAAACCGTAGGACTTGGGACTGACTTGAGATTTGTTGGCCTTTGACTTGGACTCGACTCGGGACTTGCCTGTCTTGACTCGTGACTTGACTCGGGACTTGAGGGCAATGAATTGAGACTGACTTGTGACTTGCTAAACAATGACTTTGTCCCACCTCTGCAACACACCACAAACCTCTACACAACACACCACAAACCTCTACACAACACACCACAAACCTCTACACAATACACCACAAACCTCTACACAACACAACACAAACCTCTACACAACACAACACACCACAAACCTCTACACAACACACCACAAACCTCTACACAACACACCACAAACCTCTACACAACACACCACAAACCTCTACACCAGCGTCTCCCAAAGTGGGGTCCGCGGCCCCCTGGTGGGCCGCGAGGGTACTGCAGGGGGGCCGCGGGACATGTCATAAAAAAAATAATATCATTATTTAATGTTAAATTTATAATGTTTTGTTTGTAATATTAAAATATTTGTGTTCATTATTTGACTTGAATAATCCACTGTAATCATTTTTGTATTACAATGTTTGTAGCAGAGGCTATTTCCCCAAAATAAAATAACCAGAAGAGCCTATTCTTAATGTTGTTTTCTTGGTTATTATTTTGGGGGGCCACGCAGACCCGTCAGATTTTTAAGGGGGCCTCGGTGTTACTGAGTTTGGGAATGGCTGCTCTACACAATACACCACAAACCTCTACACAACACACCACAAAACCTCTACACAACACAAACACAAACCTCTACACAACACAACACAAACACAAACCTCTACACAACACAACACACCACAAACCTCTACACAACACAACACAAACCTCTACACAACACAACACACCACAAACCTCTACACAACACACCACAAACCTCTACACAACACAAACACAAACCTCTACACAACACAACACAAACACAAACCTCTACACAACACAACACACCACAAACCTCTACACAACACAACACAAACCTCTACACAACACAACACACCACACAACCTCTACACAACACACCACAAACCTCTACACAACACAACACAAACCTCTACACAACACAAACCTCTACACAACACAACACAAACACAAACCTCTACACAACACAACACACCACAAACCTCTACACAACACAACACAAACCTCTACACAACACAACACACCACAAACCTCTACACAACACACCACAAACCTCTACACAACACACCACAAACCTCTACACAACACAAACCTCTACACAACACAACACAAACACAAACCTCTACACAACACAACACACCACAAACCTCTACACAACACAACACAAACCTCTACACAACACAACACACCACAAACCTCTACACAACACACCACAAACCTCTACACAATACAACACAAACCTCTACACAACACAAACCTCTACACAACACACCACAAACCTCTACACAACACACCACAAACCTCTACACAACACAAACCTCTACACAACACACCACAAACCTCTACACAACACAAACCTCTACACAACACAACACAAACCTCTACACAACACAAACCTCTACACAACACACCACAAACCTCTACACAATACACCACAAACCTCTACACACCACAAACCTCTACACAACACAACACAAACCTCTACACAACACACCACAAACCTCTACACAATACACCACAAACCTCTACACACCACAAACCTCTACACAACACAACACAAACCTCTACACAACACACCACAAACCTCTACACAACACAAACCTCTACACAACACAAACCTCTACACAACACAAACCTCTACACAACACAAACCTCTACACAACACACCACAAACCTCTACACAACACAACACAAACCTCTACACAACACACCACAAACCTCTACACAACACAAACCTCTACACAACACAACACAAACCTCTACACAACACACCACAAACCTCTACACAACACAAACCTCTACACAACACACCACAAACCTCTACACAACACACCACAAACCTCTACACAATACACCACAAACCTCTACACAATACACCACAAACCTCTACACAACACAACACAAACCTCTACACAACACAAACCTCTACACAACACAACACAAACCTCTACACAACACAAACCTCTACACAACACAAACCTCTACACAACACAAACCTCTACACAACACAAACCTCTACACAACACAACACAAACCTCTACACAATACAACACAAACCTCTACACAACACACCACAAACCTCTACACAACACAAACCTCTATACAACACACCACAAACCTCTACACAACACAACACAACACAAACCTCTACACAACACACCACAAACCTCTACACAACACAACACAACACAAACCTCTACACAACACAACACAAACCTCTACACAACACAAACCTCTACACAACACATGATTATTGTGGAGGATCAGGATCTTTTTTTGTTAAAGTGCTTCTTTCAAATATTGTTTTTGCCATCGCCTCCTCCTCTTCCTCCTCCACACACTCTGACCTCCTCCTCCTCCTCCACACACTCTGACCTCCTCCTCCTCCTCCACACACTCTGACCTCCTCTTCCTCCTCCACACACTCTGACCTCCTTCCTCCTCCTCCACACACTCTGACCTCCTCTTCCTCCTCCACACACTCTGACCTCCTCCTCCACACACTCTGACCTCCTTCATCCTCCTCCACACACTCTGACCTCCTCTTCCTCCTCCACACACTCTGACCTCCTCCTCCACACACTCTGACCTCCTCCTCCACACACTCTGGCCTCCTCCGCCTCCTCCACACACTCTGACCTCCTCTTCCTCCTCCACACACTCTGACCTCCTCCTCCACACTCCGCTCCTCCTCCTCCACACACTCTGACCTCCTCCTCCACACACTCTGACCTCCTCCTCCTCCTCCACACACTGTGACCTCCTCCTCCACACACTCTGACCTCCTCCTCCACACACTCTGACCTCCTCTTCCTCCTCCACACACTCTGATCTCCTCTTCCTCCTCCACACACTCTGACCTCCTCTTCCTCCTCCACACACTCTGACCTCCTCTTCCTCCTCCACACACTCTGACCTCCTCTTCCTCCTCCACACACTCTGACCTCCTCCTCCTCCACACACTCTGACCTCCTCTTCCTCCTCCACACACTCTGACCTCCTCCTCCTCCTCCACACACTCTGACCTCCTCTTCCTGCTCCACACACTATGACCTCCTCTTCCTCCTCCACACACTCTGACCTCCTTCCTCCGCCACACACTCTGACCTCCTCTTCCTCCTCCACACACTCTGACCTCCTCTTCCTGCTCCACACACTATGACCTCCTCTTCCTCCTCCACACACTCTGACCTCCTCTTCCTGCTCCACACACTCTGACCTCCTCTTCCTCCTCCACACACTCTGACCTCCTCCTCCTCCACACACTCTGACCTCCTCTTCCTCCTCCACACACTCTGACCTCCTCCTCCTCCTCCACACACTATGACCTCCTCTTCCTCCTCCACACACTCTGACCTCCTCCTCCACACACTCTGACCTCCTTCCTCCGCCACACACTCTGACCTCCTCTTCCTCCTCCACACACTCTGACCTCCTCTTCCTCCTCCACACACTCTGACCTCCTCTTCCTCCTCCACACACTCTGACCTCCTCTTCCTCCTCCACACACTCTGACCTCCTCTTCCTCCTCCACACACTCTGACCTCCTCTTCCTCCTCCACACACTCTGACCTCCTCTTCCTCCTCCACACACTCTTACCTCCTCTTCCTCCTCCACACACTCTGACCTCCTCCTCCTCCACACACTCTGACCTCCTCTTCCTCCTCCACACACTCTGACCTCCTCCTCCTCCTCCACACACTCTGACCACAACATAATCTTTTTATACCCATAATCCACTGCACTCAGTGAGCACTAAAGCAGGACATGCACTTGTAACGGGTGTCACCAGTGGGTGTCGCTGGTGTCAGCCTTAAAATAGGAAGTTGGCTACGTGCCAGACAGGTGCCAGTTTCCGTGGGCGGCCAGAGTGTTTGCTGGGCCCATGTGTGTGTGCGTGTTTGGCCAAAGTTACGGTGAGCTTTTAAAATAGTTTATGCAGTATTATGGTGATGAAATTAATTGTTTTGTTCTGTGGTAGGGAGGCCTTGCTGTTTGCCATTGGGCAAATAAAGATCTGTGTGGAGCTGTGTGTGGGGGTTGCGACGCACAGGTAGCAAGTTTTTAACAGGTTTTTAAATGATTAAAGTTTTGTTTAAGATATTAAGGGTTTTGTGTTTTTCTGTTTTACAGTGGTTTTAATATTTGCTGCCTGCTGTCCTTTTGAGTGTATTTTCATTTCTGTTATTCAGCCTAGCTCATTAATATTCAGAGCTTTGTAAAGGCGTTTAACTTTTATATTTTGGGTCACTTCTCCTTCCTAGTAATAAAATAAATACTGTAAATATTCATACCAGTTTTGCATGTCTACTTATTGCCCGGCTCTGGTAACACACTGTTTGCTAATGCTTTTAATGTTTTTGATGTGTACATCTGTCTCACTCCTCCTCCGCGCACACACAGGAGTTGCTGCTCATCCTCACACACCTCTATCTCGCTCCTCCTCCTCTCCTCCTCTCCTCCTCTCCTCCTCTCCTCCTCCTCTCCTCCTCCTCTCCTCCTCCTCTCCTCCTCCTCCTCCTCCTCCTCCTCCTCCTCTCCTCCTCTCCTCTTCCCCTCCTCCTCCTCCTCCTCCTCCGCTCATACACAGAAGTCTCTGTCAATGTGGACGCAGCCAGTGTGAGCAGCTTAAACGCGAGCGTCCATCGCTCCGAACACAGCGCTCATTTCCATCTCATTCCCGTCTCTGACTTTCACTCGGATTCAGACACTGCTAAAGTTATTTTGACAGCTCCGTATAGTTTTCTCCGAAGGACCCCGCTCCCCACATAGCTGCCCTCACGCCTGCCTGTGAAAAAATTGCTTTTGGTGAAAATTTGACACAAAAATGTATTGAATAATGTACTCACAGAGGTCCAGAGAAAAGGGTCTCGGGGTCCAAACCTGCACCGCGGTCCGCCGTTTGGGTACCCCTGGACTAGAGGAACAGAGAAGGAAGCATGAGTGGACGAGTGGACATGAGACACACTCTGGTCTTTACTGCCTCTGTTAGTATTAGATAGCAATATGGCCTACGTGCAGGACTCTACAAGGACTCTGATTATTTTGACTATGATGTGACTGTCTCTGTGTGACACGTCTTTCCATGTGTGACGTGACAATGACTATATAAACTGTGTACTGACTCCATTCTGTCTGAGAGAAAGAAACAAAGGAAACCACTGGAACTTGAGAGAAACTTAAATAAACTTCCAGAGTTTGGCGCACCACGATCCGTCTCTGTCTGCCTCATCCCTGACACCTCTTTTATCTACGCCCTCTGCGACATGTCGACTCTCGCCATCACTGCAGCAGAAGCACAGTTCTGAAGGAACAAGCCTATTGTAGATTGACTTCCTGCGTCCTGGGGCCTTCTGCAGCTGAGGGGCCCGGAGGCCCTAGGGCCTCTCTGCAGCTGAGGGGACTGGAGGCCCTAGGGCCTCTCTGCAGCTGAGGGGCCCGGAGGCCCTGGGGCCTTCACACTCACAACTGTTGCTTCTACATCACCAGACTCCTGTTGAATGTGCACAGAGGAGTGAATGATAAGTGTCCTTGTGTTTACAGACTCTCAGGATGTGTGGTCTCTGAGAGGGGCGGAGCTGCTCTGGCCTCTGCTCTAAGCTCCGCCCACTCTCATCTGACAGAGTTAGACCTGAGCTACAACCATCCAGGAGCCTCAGCAGAGGTCCTGACCGCTGTACGGGACCACCCCCACTACCCCCTGCACACACTCAGGTGAGCACACTGCCCAGACTCTCTCTGTTCAAGTATTCACTGTGTATTTCTTCAATCATTCATTCTGTCTTTCTTTTGAATAAGAACTAGTGCGTATCTCCACGGCAACAAGACAACAGTGTTTCAACTGAAACTATTTGAATTCAACACAATTCTGAGCAAAAACATCTATCGCTGAACTGAAATATAAATAATCTGTTTTTGACTTAATGATCCGTCACAAAGTATGTATGTAGCCAACCTGCATGTGGAAGCCTGATCCTGTTAGAGCTCAGGAGGTAAGCAGGGCAGGGCTTGGATAGTACTGTGATGGGAGACCTCTCTCTGAATAATGTGTGTGAAGCACTAAATAAATTTCATGGATTTATATTATAATTATTGTTAATCACACATCAGTTCATAAATCACAGGAGAAAGATCACTATGATAAGAAGAAATGTTTTGTCCGACAGTAAGAGGTTAAACTGGAGACGTTCTTTTGTAGAAAACACTGAGGCTCAATAGAAAATGTTGATGATTGAATGATCACAGACATAATCTCTGTTTATTGAGTCTTTTTGAGGCTCCATCTCTGCAGTTCAATCACAAATCCTCCAAAAGCATTTGGTCCAGAGAATCCTGAAGGCCACACATCCTGTAGTTTTAGCACCTTCCTCTGGTCAGATTGAAGTCGACAGATAAACAACATTATTCCTCAGTTTTGTCACAGTCTGTGTTTGGATCTTATTGTGAGTCTTGTTCCATGTGTGAGTGACCTGTGTGTTACAGGCTGGACCCGGCTGGAGAGAGGTGGATGGTCACAGGTCCAAGGAAGTGTGAGTAAACAGGAAGTGATGTCATAAGTTAGAATGTTTAGTCCTCCTCCATCTGTGCCTTTTCTCTTCATTGACCTGTATGTTGGTGGTCTGTCCACGAGGACCATCCACATTCATTAGTGAAGGAACGGTTTAAAGTCTGAGATTGAGATGTTCCTCAGAGGGAGTGCTCCTATTGAGATGGAGCGACAGCTCCTTATGGTCCACCTCAAGAGCAGATCAATGATAAGGAGAAGAAAGGATCAGGAAGGACATGGAGGTGTTTAGTCAGAGACAGATCTGGGTCTGATTTTGGGTAAATACTTTCTTGATCCCTGATGGAGAAATGCAGGTGTCCAGCAGCAGAAACACATCCATCCAAACAAACAAATAAATCCATCATTCTAAAAGTGACTACAATAGTAATAAAGTGCAGCAGCAGCAGAGGTGGAGGAGCTGCTGGTGATGAGCTGCTTCCTCTCCTCTGGGTGATGTCTGCAGAGTCTGCTTGGTTTGGACCATTTTCTCTGCTCTGAATGGATTTGGATCTGAGTGGATTTACTCTTGATCTGTTTGGTTCAGATCGTGCATTCTCTCTGCTCTGGGAGAAAAATAACAATTGTAAAACAACTGTTTCAGAGCTACTTAGGTCTCGCTGTCGTTTCCAGTGCATTCAAAAGTCAAACTTTTGAAATAAATAAATCTAGAGAATAAGAACCAATAAAACAACTATTTACAACGATCCATTTTCCTTAGTTTCCTGTGTCTGAACTGTTGCCAAATGTAAAACCTGTTGTATATTGTGTGTTTTGCTGCATGGTGTGTTAAAGTGACAGTGAGGTCACCAGTGTGTGTGTGTTCTCAGACTTCTGTGACGTCTCTCTGGATCCAAACACGGCCAATAACACTCTGCAGCTGAGTGAGGACAGAAGGACAGTGACCAGAGTGGAGGCGCTGCAGCTGTACCCCTCTCACCAGGACCGCTTCAGCTCCTGCCCACAGCTGCTGAGCTCCACCGCCCTCACAGGACGCTCTTACTTTGAGGTGGAGTGGAGCGGAGATGTAGCTATAGCACTGAGTCACAGAGGAATCGGACGCAGAGGAGACCTGGACCAGTGTCGCTTTGGGGACAATGATCAGTCCTGGAGTCTGAGGATCGAAGGAAACAGGAGGTCTTTTTATCATTGTAAAAGGAAGACACAACTGTACAACTCCGCACAAAGAGTAGGTGTTTTCCTGGACTCTGAGGCTGGAGTTCTGTATTTCTCTGAGGTTATTGGTGATAAATACTGGACCCCCCTCCTCTCCGTCAGCGTCTCCGTCTCAGAGCCGCTGTTTGTTGGGTTCAGTCTGGAGCGTCCTGGTTCCTCTGTGTCTCTGATTAACTTTAAGAAACTCTAATTTTAAAGATGTGATATTTTTAAACACATCGCTCAGAGCTTTTCTACTGATAAACAGAAATCATGTTTTTGAAAAAGATGTCGATCATTTGTGTCATGAATTTTACTGCAATAAAATATAAATAATCTGTTAATTGCTTTAAATGTTTTACAGAATTAAGAATTGATTTACAGCAGTTTCTATTTTACAGTTTAGGTTCTTATTGAGAGACTTGTTTACGGTAATTACTTTGTTAAAATCTAAAGAAGATTTTTTTTTTTTTGTCTGGGGAACTTCCGGTTTCTTCTGAATTGTACTTAGTGTGACATGGTGTGGGCTCGGGATGGTCCGGTCTGAACTGTTTAAATGGTTAGCGCTGAAAGGGGATAAACGTGTGTATTTTAATGTGACTTTTATGATTCTTTTGTCTGCTTTACTGATTCAATGTATTCATGGTTTTAGCTCTTACAGTGAATTTGTGCAATGAAATAAAAACGTGAAATGGGCACATGCGTCTGTACGAGCCTTCATTCATTCAGCTAAAGCCGCTCGCATAAAGAAAATATAATATACAGTATATTCCAGTGCAAGAACAGAAGCACAACATGTGACATCACCTCGACAGTGTTTGTGAGTTATCATTGTTCGTTGTACAGTCTGACAACAGCAGGAAGATATTGGACTACTGTAATAAATAGTGAAATACATAGAAACATTTTTGAGAAACATATGTGTGAGATAAATACATGAGATGATTGTGGGAGGCCAAGTCCCTGTATAGAGAGTGTCCAGGATTTAGGAGCTGGTGTCACATTTCTACTACTTTGGCGCCAAAAGGGTTAATATTGAGAATGTAATATTTGTGTCTGGAAGAAAGTACAAGAGAAGAACTTTCCCCGAATACTGCTGTATGTCCTTTGTGTTTGTGGATTATGTCTGTGATGCAGCCTCCTTTACCCTCGGCACCGTCTCAATAAAAACCCAATTGTTTTTGCAGCGATCCGATTCCAAAATGACCAATAATGAGAAGAGACTTTTAAAAAAGAGTGGAATAAGAAATGCTGAACAAACGCACAGTGATTCTGCTCGTATATTGTGTAGCGGCCTGAACCTTTTTGCCAAAACAACTCATATTTGACTTGGATTGAGAGTTTCAAATCCATCCGTTTACATTCACACACATGAACAGAGACACAACAGATGTTTTTAGTGCAATTATGTCCAGACTGAGGTCATCGTTACAACACTGTGCAGAAGTTCATCAAACATTCTGTTCTAGGACACGTCAGGCCCTTTTTCACATTCACTTCATTTGAGCAGCACAGGCCATAAAAAAGACACTAGAGTATATAGTAGGATAAAGTAAAGTAGTGTAGAGTAAAGTATGTCACGTTTCAAAAAGGAGGAAGGACCCAAAATGCACAACTGACAAAAATATAAGATTTAATTCACAAAAACACAACAATAACTACATTCAGGATTCAGAACTCCAAACTCAAACCAAGACCAAACAGGAAGAAAAACACAATGGACTAAGAACAAAGGGACAGGAGCACAGGGACCAGAGACACACAGGGACACACAGAGACACACAGAGAGACACACAGGGACACACAGAGACACACACAGAGACACACAGGGACACACAGGGACATACAGAGACACACAGAGACACACAGAGACACACAAGGACACACAGGGACACACACAGAGACACAGAGAGACACACAGGGACACACAAGGACACACACAGGGACACACAGAGACACACACAGGGACACACAGAGACACACAGGGACACACAAGGACACACAGAGACATACAGAGACACACAGAGACACACAAGGACACACAGAGACACAGAGAGACACACAGGGACACACAAGGACACACACAGGGACACACAGAGACACACACAGGGACACACAGAGACACACACAGGGACACACAGAGACACACACAGGGACACACAGAGACACACAGGGACACACAGAGACATACAGAGACACACAGAGACACACAAGGACACACAGGGACACACACAGAGACACAGAGAGACACACAAGGACACACACAGAGACACAGAGAGACACACAGGGACACACAGAGACACACACAGGGACACACAGGGACACACACAGACAGGCAGGGGCACACAGAGACACACAGGGACACACAGGGACATACAGGGACACACACAGAGACACACAGGGACACACAGGGACATACAGGGACACACAGAGACACACAGGGACACACAGAGACACACAGGGACACAGAGACACACAGGGACACACAGAGACAGACAGGGACACACAGACACACAGAGAGACACACAGGGACACACAGAGACACACAGGGACACACAGAGAGACACACAGGGACACACACAGAGACACAGAGAGACACACAGAGGGACACACAGAGACACACAGAGACAGACAGGGACACACAGACACACACAGAGACACACAGGGACACACAGAGACACACACAGGAACACACACAGGGACACACAGAGAGACACACAGAGACACAGAGACAGACAGAGACAGACAGACACAGAGACACACACAGGGACACACAGAGAGACACAGGGACACACAGACACACACAGGGACACACAGGGACAGACACAGAGACACACAGGGACACACAGGGACAGACACAGAGACACACAGGGACACACAGGGACAGACACAGAGACACACAGGGACAGACACAGACACACACAGGGACACACAGGGACACACAGGGACACACAGAGACACACAGGGACACACAGGGACACACAGAGACACACAGGGACACACAGGGACACACAGGGACACACAGGGACAGGCAGGGACACACAGGGACACACAGAGACACACAGAGACACACAGGGACACACACAGACACACACAGAGACACACAGGGACACACACAGAGACACACAGGGACACACAGGGACACACACAGGGACACATAGGGACACACAGGGACACACAGAGACACACAGGGACACACACAGAGACATACAGGGACACACACAGAGACACACAGGGACACACACAGAGACACACAGGGACACACACAGAGACACACAGGGACACACACAGAGACACACAGGGACACACACAGAGACACACAGAGACACACAGGGACACACACAGGGACACACACAGAGACACACAGGGACACACACAGAGACACACAGAGACACACAGGGACACACACAGGGACACACAGGGACACACACAGAGACACACAGGGACACACACAGATACACACAGGGACACACAGGGACACACACAGAGACATGCAGGGACACAGACAGAGACACACAGGGACACACACAGAGACACAGGGACACACAGAGACACACAGGGACACACAGGGACACACTGAGCAGACATGAAGAAACACTGAAAAAAAACAAATGTCATCAAAATAAATCCTTTTTTATTAACAAATGAATCAAAAAGTCCACACCAGGACAAAGTAGTAAACAGTAAAGTATTATTAAGTAAAGTAATAATAATAAAATCCAATATAACACATGATATAAAATAAAAAGAATGAAAACAGAGGAAATGTCAAACAGACGTTGAAAGCTTTGTAAATGTGTGAATAACACGACCATGCTTCAAACTTGTCCACAACGTTATCCCTGAGCTCTCTGCTGTGCTCCTTGGCCTTCATGATGCTGTTTAGTGAGGCTCCAAGGCTCTGAGGCCCTCACAGAACAGCTGTAGTTAAACTGAGAGGAGATTACACACAGATGGCTTTTATTTCAAGGTTAGGGCAAAGTGTGAACATTCAGCAGGACATTTTACACACTCAGAAAAATGCTGTACGCCCCACTTTGGACTTTTCTGTATTTGTGTATTAGTACTTTCCAGAGGCACTATAGACACACAGATAATCTTCTCCTTTTTCACTTTTTCACAATATTCTAATATGTCGAGCGTGTCGGCGATGCAAGACAAGGTACAACACATGAGAATATTGGGAATCATAACATCTCAATGGCAGCGAGCCACATGATTACCTGCGCCTCTTTAAATATAGCCACAAACGTTTATTCATGAAGCTATATTTTGTCTTTTTGAGCATGGAAAAACAAATGCTCTGTGTAATGTCATGTTGGATAGTCGGATAGATGCTTATTTCCTCTGAGATGTTATTCCTTTGACTGTAATACCCAAACTAAATATAATTAGCTTTCACTTCATACAGTTTGTGTTGCTTTTATTAATCCAGTTTCTCCATAAAAATATGTAAACCACCCCCAGTGAGAACTCCCAACAGGCTGATTCTGCCCTATTAACATCATCTGGTCTGTTCTTACAAAATGATAGTTATTTATACAATTTGATTCATTTTTGTTCATACCTGACACTTGTGACTGCAGTCTTCCTCAGTTTTTGCCGCTGTCTTTCTACCACCAGAGGCAGGACGACAGCGCCATCTGCTGTACGACTTCTTCAGGACAGAATCCCAGCTGTGTGAGAGTAAAGAAGCCCCCTCGTCCCGGTTTATAGTCCTGAGGGCGCGTTCCCGTATTTCTATTGCCTCTTTGATCCAGCGTCGTGTTTGTTGTCCTCAGCCACTATGATACTTGCTCCGTCCCGATCCATAATGTGGTTCTCTCTTTTACACTGGTCGGAGATGGCAGATCTGAGTGTCTCTTGTTCTTGCTGTGTGTGTTGTGTTGCTTGTGTGTACGCTTTAGCACACAAGCAACACAACACTGGGAGGAAGACTGTGCACCAGCAAAAGTGTCAGGAATGAAAAAAACACTCTGGTCTTAAACAAGAACCAACTTGTAGAATCTATCAGAGGAGCAACTGAACCTCATTGGACTGATAGCTACTTGATTAGCTTCAAATTAGCTTTGTATTTTCTCTGCAGTCACATGTCCGTTAAGATGTTGCTTTCTCCATGAATGTTTGATATAATCTTACAATAACAGAAAACAGACAAATCACTGGGTTCTCTCCATAAAGATGATTGTGGTCATTTTTACATTTCTTCTGTAGAATTGTGTTAATAACGTCAATACCTGCTTCTTTATTCATCATGAGATTAAAATGGGTTCTGTCTAAATCTTGAGTCAAACTTTGAATCAAGTAAAATAATTCTGTTCAAATGTGAATTATACAAACCAATACATGTTGAGGTCGCACATCATATGCTTTAGGCCCAGATTATGTACAAAATAATAGGAAATGTACCAATAAACATCTGCTGTGCCTCTTTTCCTTCCCTTTTGTCCTACATTTCCCAGAATGCCGTTCAGTTTAGAGCAGATTTTTCTTCGTCTTTCAGCAGCTGCTTGTTTTTGGACCATCTCCTCACTGTTTGTGTCTCTGTAAAGATGGAAAAGGTTTTTAAAAAGACAAAAACATTCTGAAAGTTGCGGTATAGTTGAGTTTGGGCTTAAGACTTGTTTCAGTGTCATCAGTTGTTGCCATGGTATTATAATGTATTTCCTAAAACCTTTGAAGACTTTTGTTCAATAAAACAAAACTGAAAACTTTGATGAAGAACTCATTTTTTTTCAGCAGCGTTGAAGCTTATGAGGTCTGCGGCTCAGCAGTTTTTACTATGGTTACCACGGTTACTCATTACATAACTATGGTTATGTTTTATCAGTGTTTGTTAGTTTGCAAGAAGAACTCAAATTCATGAAATCGTCAGTAAATCTTGAAAAGGAAACATTTGTCTGGATCCAGAATTTTTGTAATTTTATTTCTCCTTCATCTCTCAACCTCCAGAAGGTGCCTCTCAAACTCCCCTGAGTGTCCCGGCGTTGACGTACACGTGTGTGTGTGTGTGTGTGTGTTGGCGTCTAGCACGCGTGTCTCTCACCATCCAAATAGAGCAAAATACTGTGTTCTACAATCCTTTATTGTTGCCAAGTACACAAATATAAAGCTGTGGTAACAAACAACGGTCGAAAGATGTTTTCCTCCACACTACAACACCTGTCTTTCATTAGTGCCCCACTTATATAGGGCATACTATCGAGGTGGCGCCACACAGTGGCAGGAGGCAGCAAAGGAAAACATAGGAAACTGGCTCCAACAGTGTGTGTGTGTGTGTGTGTGTGTGTGTGTGTGTGTGTGTGTGTGTGTGTGTGTGTGTTTGTGTTTGTCTGAGCAAAACTGTCGTTGTGTTCTCAGGCAACACACTTCACCAACATTGCTTAGAATGAGTCTGGTGTGTATCTGAATGGTGTGTGGTGGTTGGAGGGGCTGATGGCACGGACTGGTTGCCTCAGTGTGCCCCAGGGCGGCTGTGGCTACAGTAGTAGTTTATCACCGCTGTGTATGGAGTGAATGATGTGTGAAGGTAACATATTCACTTACTCTTATGGACATGATATTTTCCCAAATTGACAGTGTAAAGATTATTTAGCACTTTCGTTATACTATCAGTAAAAAAAGTTTATTTTGACAATTTCCGGTCTAAACAGGAAGTAGGTTGCTAGCGCTAATCATGGATGTAAACAGTCTATGGATGTAGGCCATGATTTAGAAAAAAAAGTTCAGAAAGAAGCATGAAAATCAAAAATGACATTAGCATCATAAATAATACATTAATTATGATGCTATACATATGCTATGATATAATAATAAATACATGATCACAGCAAAACAGAACTGTTTTATTACCTGGATTTGAACGTTACACGATACATTTTAATACATTCAAAGATTACTCCTCAACATGACAGGTTGGTAACGCGTTAACTTTAGAGAGAGTTATGTATCATTATCTGGCGTACTGTAAATATGTTTATTTTTATTCAATTAAAATCATTATGAATTGTTTCCAGTAAGAACCAGGAAACAGCAGCTGCGCGTGAAGGCGGCTTGGTCACGTGACGTCACCTCACCTGAGACTAAAGTGAAAGTAAAGCTGGGTTAATATTTACCGTCTCTGGAAAGATTCAACTAAACCCTGCGTCGTCAAGATCCTTTTGGGGAGAACGCGTCTCTGGCCACGTCTGCGTAAGTAGAATAGTAGTTTATATTTAGTTCAGATGAAGAAAACATCTTTATAAGCTTTATTTTCCTTCACCTTTGACCAGGCCGCTCCCGTTTCAGTCTACGCACTTTTTATTTAACCCTGGGCTTTTAAAACTACAAATATCTTCACAGTTCATTGAGATTGAGGCCCATTGAGTCACTTTTACTCCTCTTTAATCAGTTTTTCGTCGTCGTTTTCCAACAAACAGTAAAGTTAATCGTCACAGGCCGCTCCCATTTCTTCTCAGGACCTACGCACTTTATTTTCCTACAGTATGTCTGGCTTTTTAACCACTGACTCTTCCTCATGCTGCACTTGCTAAAAGGTTCATACGAGTTTACATGTATTCTGACCTGTTTGCTTTATTACAGGTCTCTGAGTCTCATTTTCACATCTCTCATGTTAAAAACACTCAACCCGTGTTTTTCATTTGATTTTCTTATTTCTTACAGCCCTAGTTTGATGCAGACATTCAATACATTTTTTCTATAGTCCTGAATCCCAACAGCAGGCGTCTCAGAGGACTTTTTAAAGTTGTCAATTCCTCTACAACAGGTCAGAGAATCAAACAGTTTGAACACAATAAATGCAATAATAACAAACACAGAGAAGCCGTTGGTTCAGAGGGAGCGGGTTGATCAATGTCCATAAATGTCCTTTACTGACCTGGACCATCACTGTCCTCAGACCCTTCTGCATCGGCAAAGAACCACTCAGATTCGTGTGGAGAAAACCCTCAGAGGCCCCTTTGACAGAGATCTGCTCCCACAGACAGACAGCCTGTAGATCCAAGATTCAAGATTCTGTTTATTTGCCATTTACAGTATAACCACATTGGAGTAACTGTGCAAGACTACCCCAGTGTGCACCTGGATAGTACACCATGTGATCCAGGACTCAGGCTGTGGATCCAGGACTCAGGCTGTGGATCCAGGACTCAGGCTGTGGATCCAGGACTCAGGCTGTGGATCCAGGACTCAGGCTGTGGATCCAGGACTCAGGCTGTGGATCCAGGACTCAGGCTGTGGATCCAGGACTCAGGCTGTGGATCCAGGACTCAGGCTGTGGATCCAGGACTCAGGCTGTGGATCCAGGACTCAGGCTGTGGATCCAGGACTCAGGCTGTGGATCCAGGACTCAGGCTGTGGATCCAGGACTCAGGCTGTGGATCCAGGACTCAGGCTGTGGATCCAGGACTCAGGCTGTGGATCCAGGACTCAGGCTGTGGATCCAGGACTCAGGCTGTGGATCCAGGACTCAGGCTGTGGATCCAGGACTCAGGCTGTGGATCCAGGACTCAGGCTGTGGATCCAGGACTCCAGGGATCCAGGACTCAGGCTGTGGATCCAGGACTCAGGCTGTGGATCCAGGACTCAGGCTGTGGATCCAGGACTCAGGCTGTGGATCCAGGACTCAGGCTGTAGATCCAGGACTCAGGCTGTAGATCCAGGACTCAGGCTGTAGATCCAGGACTCAGGCTGTAGATCCAGGACTCAGGCTGTAGATCCAGGACTCAGGCTGTAGATCCAGGACTCAGGCTGTAGATCCAGGACTCAGGCTGTAGATCCAGGACTCAGGCTGTAGATCCAGGACTCAGGCTGTAGATCCAGGACTCAGGCTGTAGATCCAGGACTCAGGCTGTAGATCCAGGACTCAGGCTGTAGACCCAGGCCCGAGGCTGTAGACCCAGGACCGAGGCTCTGGTTGTCTGTGTGACATGTGGTTGTGTGTTGTGGGTAATGCATTTTTAAACTATTATAATTCCTCTTTGTATCACAGACCTCTGCTCTCCCTGTGCACTGCTACATTTTGGGGATAATGGAGCCTCTCAGTCCTGGTGCAGATCTCGGCCCTGATCTGAGCTCTCTGTGTCGCTCTGAGGAAACATCTGCAAGGTTTGAGTTCTTTTCCATAGTGAGTGGGAGACAAACAAGATTTGCAGTGGTCTGATACTCCGTCCATTTCAATATAATTGCTTGCACAGTGCTCCTTGAGATGTTTAAAACTTGGGAAATCTTTTTGTATCCAAATCCGGCTTTAAACTTCTCCACAACAGTATCTCGGACCTGCCTGGTGTGTTCCTTTGTCTTCATGGTTAAACAGAACCCTGAGACTATCAAAGAGCAGGTGCATTTATACGGAGACTTGATAACACACAGGTGCATTCTATTTATCATCATCAGTCATTTAGGACAACATTGGATCATTCAAAGATCCTCACTGAACTTCTGGACTGAGTTTGCTGCACTGAAAGTAAAGGGGCTGAATAATATTGCACGCCCCACTTTTCAGTTTTTTATTTGTTAAAAAAGTTTAAATGATCCAATAAATTTCGTTCCACTTCACAATTGTGTCCCACTTGTTGTTGATTCATGACAAAAATTTAAATTTTTATATCTTTGTTTGAAGCCTGAAATGTGGCGAAATGTGGAAAGGTTCAAGGGGCCGAATACTTTCGCAAGGCACTGTATACAGTATATTTTACAGCAGGCTTGATTTGGTCGTTCTTTTCAACGTTAATAATGTGTGTGTAAATTTGTATGTAGGATTTGTGTTTTATTTCAAAATTCAATTCATTTTTGCCAATTCTAAATTAATAAATAAAAAATAATCATATAATAATATTAACTGTTAAAAATCATCTTCAGGAGGAAACTGGACAAATCTGGATCTCAAACCAGACCTGGTCCCAGCTGTGAGTCTCTGAAGAGCGACAGGTCCAAAGATGCGATAATCAACTTTAAAAGGTGAGTTTGTTCCTGAATGTGTGCTCCACTGTAACATGCTCTGAACAGACTCTTTGACTGTAGGGACTCGAACCCTCACCCTGCTCTGAGCTGTGGCTCCAGCCTCAGTGACAGCTCTAAAGACTGGGCCGTAGACTTTTAGAACTATAGCGACTGCTTGTTGCCTAAAGCTGTGGAGAGGCGAGTTGGGTCCGATAAAAGTGTATGACGCCCTAAATTAGTGTAGAAAAACAAATGGAAAGGCTGGATCCAGTTGCGATGCAATTTAATCAATAATAGTGACCAACATGTTTTTATTACAAGGGAAAATGTAGGTACCCCAGCTTTAATGTAGGGCACGGTCACAAATGAACTGGCCTAAGTGGCCCGGATCGTCGCCACAGGGGTGTGAAGATGGCCCTCCAACAGAAGATTGTAAAAAAGAAAAAAAGGGGCCACCCCAAATGTGGTGTAGTATAACTCCAGTCAAGCAGGTGGCGCTAATAGCTAAAACCCGGTTTAGCTCCTGTTTTGGCGGTTTTCAAGTGTCTCCATCTGCTTGTTCTGACCGGATTGTGTCCTCGTGACCACCTTGGGGCTTCCCGAGGTACTGCAGACTAAAATCACGTGGGTTACCCAGAAATGTTTCCCATAGAAGTCATTGTAAACTTAAACAGCTCGACCTCAGCAGACAGAGAACCTGACAAAGAACCTGACAGAGAACCTACAGCTTTCATAAAGGTCGGGTTTTGTGGGGATTTTAGTGTCCCTCGTCATCCTGAACTTTTTCTTCCATCGGTTTTCTTCAAATCCACACTTTAGTGCAACAAACTCTGTTGTTTTGCATTTACGTGGGCGCAGAAGGAAAACGAAATGTGACGCACAATATCACGTCCCCACTACACCCACGATACTTTTATTAATATTAATATATACAGTGTATATTACAGCAGGCTTAATTTGGCCTTTCTTTTCAGCTCATTGGTCTAATTCCACTTTTTAGTGAATAATTGTGTTTAAGAACAAGCATAATGTGTGTTTGTAAATTTTTTCCAACAATTCATTTATTGCCAATTATAGATGAATAAATTATGAAAGTAATAATAATCATATATAAATATTAACTGTTAAAAATCATCTTCAGGGGGAAACTGGACAAATCTAGATCTAAAACCAGACCTGGTCCCAGCTGTGAGTCTCTGAAGAGCGACTGGTCCAAAGATGCGATAATCAACTTTAAAAGGTGAGTTTGTTCAGAATCAGAATCATTTTTATTGCCACGTAAGTAACAGGAAGTCACAGACTTGGAAATTGCTTTGGCTCAGTGCAACAGTCAGAAAAAGAGGTAAGAGTAGAGAAGGCATAATAAAAATAAAGAAAAAAAAACACTTTTAAGGAATAAATTTAAAATAAAAAATAGAGTTACAATTACTATATGCAATAAACTGTGCACATGGTGCACACAATGTAAGGTGACAGCAGTACAGTGAAGTGACGTATGACGTGTGTGCTCCACTGTAATGGAGCCTCTCAGTCCTGGTGCAGATCTCGGCCCTGATCTGAGCTCTCTGTGTCGCTCTGAGGAAACATCTGCAAGGTTTGAGTTCTTTTCCATAGTGAGTGGGAGACAAATGTCCATAAATGTCCTTACATGTAACTTATGGTCATTTATCTCCTGATTGAACAATACATTTATAAATATTTATAAAGGCAGGGCTGCTCTGTGCACCTTTTTAGTAAACTTTTAACAACTTTTTAGCGCGTTTTTATTGTTCAGTTTTTTAATATATCTGAGTGTTTTATCTTATTAATTCAGTGGTTTCAGCAAATAGCGCTTAGTCCCGACTGAAACCCACTAGTAGCACAGAGGCTAACACAAGCTAACGAGGACATGGAAAGTGACAATGAAATTGGCTCAAACATGCACAATATTAGTCGCCTCACCTTGGAGCTCCGTGAGAGCGACCGTGCCACCATTGCAGAACTACGAAAAGAAGTCCTTCGTCTCACCGCAGAGTTGAATGAGAAACAATCTCTAGTGTCCAAACTTTTTGAAGTCGCTGGTGGGCAGCATTCACGGCTTATGTCACTGAGCGCTGCATATTGTGACACTGTCGTGTGGGAGAGATCCGTCAGCTCCGGACCCTCCTGTTCTACACCTAAGCGCCCGGTTCCGAATAACGAGCCCGCGGATTCCGAGGAGCCATCCTGCGCCGTGGCCCATGTCCTGAGTCTGGCAAACCGCTATGCAGCCCTCTCCACTGACATCCCGGCCCCCTCAGCAGAATCCCTGGACGTACTCTACTGCTCGAGGATCCAAGTCCACTACGAGGAAAACGCTCCTAAAGGAAGCAGTCCTCAGGCGAAAGAGCGGTCCACCAGCCATGTTGGCCTGTTCCCCTTCTTTGACCCCAGTGCAGCAGCCTCAGACTGGGGTAGCGAGCCATCATCACCACCGCTCACCTCCACCGGGTCAGCAGCAGCACCCAGAGCCAGCCCCGCTCACCGCTCCAGCGTCCCCGAGCACACAGCGTGGGTCGCCTGTAGCTGAGAGTCAGCACCCCCGCTCCTCCTCTCCATGTGTTCAGCGGCGCTCAGGCTCGGGTCCTGCTTCGGGTGAACCCGCTGGTTCCGTCCACCGAGCTCCTTCTCCGAGGCCACTCTTCGCCCCGACCACTCTGATTATTGGAGATTCCATCGTGAGACACGTCCGCTTCTTTAACGCGGTCACTCGCTGTATTCCCGGAGCTACTGTACCAGACCTGCTCATACGTCTCCCTCCTCTGCTTCAGTCCCTGCCTGATACCGTTTCCAAGGTAGTCGTGCATGTGGGAATTAACGACATGAAACTTCAGCAGTCAGAAGTCACTAAGAAACATTTTATGGATCTGTTCCACCTCCTTCAATCCTCCGGACTATCTGTTTTTATTTCTGGTCCAATCCCGACTGTAAACAGAGGTGACTGCCTCTACAGTCGTGTTGTGGCGCTGCATATGTGGATCCAGGCTACATGCCGCTCTTTTAACTTTGTCTTTGTGAATAACTTTGCCCTTTTCTGGAAACGTTACGAAGCCTATCGTCCAGACGGATTACACCCAAACAGATACGGTAGCAGCCTGTTGATGGACTACATGCGTCATGTTGTTCAACGTTCCCCGAGGGGGGCGTGACTGTTTACATCTGAGCCCCCTCGGACCCCACCGCACTCCCCCGCCTCCTGCTCACCAGCAGCGGGTGAGTACAACGGTGCAAACACTGCTCCCTGTCCGTCTGGCAGTGCATTACCAGTCCAAACACTGAACTGTGCTGACTCCCTTCTGACTCTGGGAGCTAAAGAACAACAACAAGGGTTTTCACATTTTAGGCCAATTGAGACTGTGTGTGTTCCTCGCACCAGCTCAAAAAATTTTTTAAATTCTAAAAAACGAAATCAAAACAGGACAGCAGTTAGACGGTCCAACTCTGCAAATCTAATTTCTGTTCCCTGTAGAAATCAATCAACCACATTAATCGACTCTGACGTTATTTTTAAACTTGCTATGATTAATGTCAGATCTCTATGTAACAAATCATTTTTAATTAATAATTTTATCACTTCTTATGATCTTGATTTTATGCTTATGGCTGAAACATGGCTGGACCAAAATACAGGAAATGCAGTTCTAATAGAAGCAACACCACCCAATTTTAAATTCGAATCCGAAATACGAGAAAACAAAAGGGGGGGAGGCATAGCTGCAGTTTTTAGAGAGCACTTTGTCTCCCATAGAATGCCCCTTGGAAATTTTTCATCGTTTGAGTATATTTCTTTTAAAATGGAACAAAAGCAATCTTCTACTCTTTTCATTGTCCTGTACAGGCCACCACAGTCATGTTGCGATTTTATTGACCATTTTACTGAACTACTTTCATTCGTGTGCACAGATTTTGATAGTTTAGTTATTACAGGTGATTTTAATGTACATGTTGATAATGTTGATGACAGAAATGCAAAGGAGCTGGCTTCTGTATTTGAGACCTTTGGTTTCATTCAGCACGTGAGTGGCCCCACCCACAGCAGGGGGCACACTCTTGACCTGCTAATTACAAAGGGGGTTAATGTATCAAATGTTAATGTAGTTGATGTTGCTTTGTCAGATCATTTCTGTGTATTTTTCGACATGTGTTTTGCTAGCAAACCACCAGCTGAATTTACAATTGTTCGAAGAAGACACATACATGAAAACACAAGTGAACTGTTCATGGGAATGCTAAATTTTGAGAAAACTCCATGCTCTACTGTTGATGAATTGTATAACTCTGTCACCACCAGTGTTCTGACTGTTCTGGACGCCATTGCTCCTGTGACGGTTAAAATAGTTACCAGTAGGAAAAAGGCCCCATGGACTAAGGCAGACTCGGTCAGGGCACAGAAGCAAGAGTGCCGGAGGGCCGAACGGAAGTGGCGAAAGTCCAATTTCCAGGGCGATTATGAAATCTTTAAAGATGAGTTGGGTGAATTTAACCGGGTTCTACGTAGAACAAGAGAAATGTATTTTTCTGACATTATTGGAGGTTGCAGTAACAATTTTCGTGTTATGTTTTCAACAGTTGGTAGATTAACGAACCCCCCTGTAAAGTTGCCCCTAGAATTTTCCTCTAAATCTAGGTGTAATGAGTTCGCACAGTTTTTCGATGACAAAGTACAAGGAATCAAAAACACTATCACCTCCACAGCACGTATAACAATGCAACAGCCAGAGAAGCTTTTTGAGCTAACTCACTTTGCACCTGTGGATACTGAAACTGTCAAAAAGATAATCATGAGTCTGAGCTCCTCCACATGTAGCCTGGATATATTTCCCTCTAAATTTCTGAAGTCCGTCCTGAGCAGTTTGTTACCTTCACTGACACAAATAGTAAACATGTCTCTGTCGTCAGGAACATTTCCTATGGCCCTAAAAACAGCAGTCATAAGACCTCTCCTAAAAAAGAGCAGTCTGGATCCTGCGGGACTTCAAAATTATCGCCCCATATCGAATCTGCCATTCATTGGAAAAATTCTTGAAAAAGTGGCCTCCCAACAACTTACTGAATTTTTAACAATGAATAATTCTTTTGATATGTTCCAGTCTGGGTTTAGACCCCACCACAGCACTGAGACCGCTCTAGTGAAGGTAACAAACGACATTCGACTTCACACTGATGCAGGTAAAGTCACAGTTTTGGTCATGTTAGATCTTAGTGCCGCGTTCGACACTGTCGACCCATGAGATCCTCATGCAGAGACTGGAGGACTGGGTTGGTGTCACTGGCACAGCCCTAGACTGGTTTAGGTCTTACCTGGAGGATAGGAAGTACTTTGTGGAGATTGGAGACTGCGTCTCAGATCATGTGGCCCTGACCTGTGGAGTACCACAGGGGTCGATCCTGGGACCTCTCCTATTTAATCTCTACATGCTGCCGTTAGGTCAGTTAATACAAAGAAACAAAGTGTCCTACCACAATTACGCCGACGACACTCAGATCTATGTCTCACTGACTGCAGGAGAACATGGACCACTGGATTTGCTCCTTCACTGTATCCAACAGATCAGTGACTGGATGCAAAATAATTTCCTTCAGCTAAATGCAGACAAAACCGAAATCATTGTCTTTGGTCCCCAGAAACAAAGAGAGGGCGTCATTTGTCAACTTCAGTCTCTCTCCCTACTTCCTTCAGACAAGGTCAGAAATTTGGGGGTAATACTGGACTCAGACCTAAATTTCAATAGCCACATAAAATCAATAACATCAACAGCTTTTTACCATCTGAAGAACATTGCCAAAGTTAGAAATATAGTGTCCAGGGCAGACTTGGAGATTCTTGTCCATGCATTTGTCTCCAGCAGGCTAGACTACTGCAATGGCCTGCTTACAGGTCTGTCCAAACAGACCTGTAAGCAGCTGCAGTACATCCAAAATGCAGCAGCTAGAGTCCTGACAGGAACCAGGAAGTATGACCATATTAGTCCGGTCCTCAGGTCTCTGCACTGGCTTCCTGTGGCTCAGAGAATAGATTTTAAAACCGCTCTGCTTGTGTACAAGTCTCTCCATGGCCTTGCACCAGAATACATTAGTGACATGTTGGTGTCATATGAACCAGCCCGGACTCTGAGGAGCACAGGGACTGGACTCCTGCTGGTGCCCAGAGTGAGAACCAAACATGGGGAGGTTGCGTTTCAGATCCATGCAGCTAAGATCTGGAACAATCTCCCTGAAAATGTGAGGGAGGCGTCTACTCTGTCAATGTTCAAATCCAGGTTAAAGACTGTTCTGTTTGCCTGTGCATACAACTGAAGGATTTTATCTCCATTTCTAATGGACTGTTGTCATTTATTTATTTACTTTTTTAAATTTCTTGTGTAATTTTGAAAGTTTTAATGGTTTTATTCTTTTGTGTGATTTTAATGTTTTAATTGTGTTTTAATCTTTTGTGTGATTTTAATGTTTTAATTGTGTTTTAATCTTTTGTGTGATTTTAATGTTTTAATTGTGATTCTGGTGTTTGTTTTATGTGATGATTTGTGATGTGGACTGTGAAGCGCTTTGTGTTGCCCTGTGTGCTCTACAAATAAACTTTGATTTGATTTGATTATTAATATATACAGTATATTTTACAACAGGCTTGATTTGGTCGTTCTTTTCAACGCTAATAATGTGTTTTTATGTAGGATTTGTGTTTTCTCTCAAAATTGTAAAAATGTTTTGCCCATTCTAAATTAATAAATAATACAAATCATATATAAATGTTAACTGTTAAAAATCATCTTCAGGAGGAAACTGGACAAATCTGGATCTCAAACCAGACCTGGTCCCAGCTGTGAGTCTCTGAAGAGCGATTTGTCCAAAGATGCGATAATCAACTTTAAAAGGTGAGTTTGTTCCTGAGTGTGTGCTCCACTGTAACATGCTCTGAACAGACTCTTTGACTGTAGGGACTCGAACCCTCACCCTGCTCTGAGCTGTGGCTCCAGCCTCAGTGACAGCTCTAAAGACTGGCTCGTAGAGTTTAAGAACTCTAGCTGCTGCCTGTGTCCTAAAGCCGCGGAGAGAGAAAGTGTGACTCGCTAAATTAGTGTAGAGAAACAAACGGAGAGGCTGGATCCAGTTGCGATGCAATTTAATTAATTATAAACGCTGCGGTCACAGGAAAAATGCGTGATGAATAAAAAGGAAAAAGTAATTAATAAACTTAAGCCAGAAAAATAGCACAAATAAATCAAACAAAACTAAAACAGTGGTCAACAAAAGTTATGGCTACACAAACAGCCCTCTCTCCTGTCCCGGTGCCGCCGCTGGTGTGTGCCCATTCATAATCTCATGTACTGCGCCGAAACACATGCCTCCCGCACACGCACACGCACACACAGACACACACACACATAAACACACAGACGCTCTCACACACACACACAGACGCTCTCACACACACACACAGACGCTCTCACACAGACACAGACACACACACACACACACACACACACACACACACACACACACACACACACACACACACACACACACACACACACACACACACACACACACACACACACACACACACACACACACACACACACACACACACACACACACACACACACACACACACACACACACACACACACACACACGTTTTTGTTACCTGGTGGGTCCCTTTGACAGGGCCGTTCAGAATGGGACCCATAGACATAATCTTTTTTTACCAAGACTTTAAGTAATACAAAACAGTCAATAGAAACCAAACAACTATTTTAAAGGAATTTTATTTTAGATTTTGTTTTCGAATTGCAGTGATTCTATTTTTGACATAGAATTTAATGCCACTCCATGTCCGATGTCTAAGGTCATCTGGTGAGGCATTAATGCAGGCCAGGCAGTGAGACTTCCCAGGGACCTTTCCAGTCTGTATGAAAGGTGTCATGGTCTTCTCCACAGCCTTCACCTCAGATGCAGACCATGGCTTTCTTACACGTTCTAGGGAGAGAAATAAAAATATATTAGCAATATACACTCCCAGGGTGAGGACCAAGCAGCCTGGCTGTAATCCCCCACCTGGTACACTTACCAGAAGGGGCACTGCCACTACCATGGGGTGCATCTGGATGAATGGTTGAAGGTTCTCCGCTTGAAGTTTCTTTTAGCCCGTCCGTTTGTGAGAGGATCTCTACTGCTCTCCCTGTCGCACAGAAAATAAAAATACAAGTGGCCTTTAGGGGAAAAAAATCATACATATTTTAATAATATCAAGAATTACCTTCAGGCTCAATTTGTATCTGGTCGAGGCTCTTTCCTTCGAATTCCGTCACTCTTCCCTGCTCCATGGCCATCAACACTTTGCTGATTTTGGCCAGCTCCAGTGTCCCCTCTGGTAGTCTGTAATATTGCCTGTGGATGCGAATGTCATGGCCGAGGAAGTTGGCAAGTATGTCCATCTCATTCTCTTTCATATTGAGAACTGTAGACATAGTAGCTATGTGCTTTCTAAGTTTGGTTGAGGATAGCATCTCTGGATGCACCGCACCACATTCTTTGGCTACCTGGCGTAGGGAGTCTGATCCCCTGATGTGGGTGTCTGCGCCCGGGCGGGAAAAGAAGTATGGGTTATGGTCAGAGATGGAACAGGCCCTTCTGTTCTCCACCAGCACCTCCATCGAAGCAATCATTTCAGGAGTCAAAAGAACCGGCACTTTCCGACTTCTTTTCCCTTTAATTTCAATGCGTTGAAAATGCTGACACAGCTTTTTCTCAAGTTGGGACAGTCCCAGAGCAATGTCAGAATGGATCCCAGTCTTACTTCTTAAGGTAAAGGCTGTCAGTGGCATCTTTGAAACCTCACCTTCCCTTCTTCGATTGAAAATGATGACCTCACAAAGAGTCAAAACTGCCAGTTTAGACCAATGCTTAGACGTTGGCTCACTTATTAGGGTTTGCACATATTCAGCCGTCGCCATGCGATGGAGAGCGGGGGATCTGGTGCCTCCCTGTCTTTTCAGATAAGAACACCACCGTGGGTGTTGTCTAGCGAACCATCACATTCCTCCCCGCAGCTGAAGAGCAAAGTGCAGCAGTACCCTGTGCACTGCCTCCATTTCCCAGAAGGTTGATGTGGCGGGCTGAGTCCGACAGCAGCCTCCTACGGAGCTCTGACCGAGGACCCCGCCCCACCCTTTCGAGTGGACGCATCCCGTGAACACCTCTCACGTGAGACCACGGCGCTGACCAGAGACACTCGGGGGGCGGTCCCGCAACCAGACCCCGGAGTGAGCACAAAACCGGATGTCCGATCTGGCGATTTGGGGAACCCAGATCAGCCTCCTCCCGTCCCAGTGAGGGGTGAAGCTTGAGACGTGAGAACCACTTTGATGAAGAACTCATTTTTGTTCAGCAGCAGCGTTGAAGCTTATGAGGTCTGCGGCTCAGCAGTTTTTACTATGGTTACCACGGTTACTCATTACATAACTATGGTTATGTTTTATCAGTGTTTGTTAGTTTGCAAGAAGAACTCAAATTCATGAAATCGTCAGTAAATCTTGAAAAGGACACATTTGTCTGGATCCAGGATTTTTGTAATTTTATTTCTCCTTCATCTCTCAACCTCCAGAACGTGCCTCACAAACTCCCCTGAGTGTCCCGGCGTTGACGTACACGTGTGTGTGTGTGTGTGTGTGTTGGCGTCTAGGACGCGTGTCTCTCACCATCCAAATAGAGCAAAATACTGTGTTCTACAATCCTTTATTGTTGCCAAGTACACAAATATAAAGCTGTGGTAACAAACAACGGTCGAAAGATGTTTGCCTCCACACTACAACACCTGTCTTTCATTAGTGCCCCACTTATATAGGGCATACTATCGAGGTGGCGCCACACAGTGGCAGGAGGCAGCAAAGGAAAACATAGGAAACTGGCTCCAACAGTGTGTGTGTGTGTGTGTTTGTGCGTGTGTGTGTGTGTGTGTGTGTGTGTGTGTGTGTGTGTGTGTGTGCGTGTGTGTGTGTGTGTGTGTGTCTCAGCAAAACTGTCGTTGTGTCCTCAGGCAACACACTTCACCAACATTGCTTAGAATGAGTCTGGTGTGTGTCTGAATGGTGTGTGGTGGTTGGAGGGGCTGATGGCACGGACTGGTTGCCTCAGTGTGCCCCAGGGCGGCTGTGGCTACAGTAGTAGTTTATCACCGCTGTGTATGGAGTGAATGATGTGTGAAGGTAACATATTCACTTACTCTTATGGACACGATATTTTCCCAAATTGACAGTGTAAAGGTTATTTAGCACTTTCGTTATACTATCAGTAAAAAAGTTTATTTTGACAATTTCCGGTCTAAACAGGAAGTAGGTTGCTAGCGCTAATCATGGATGTAAACAGTCTATGGATGTAGGCCATGATTTAGAAAAAAAAGTTCAGAAAGAAGCATGAAAATCAAAAATGACATTAGCATCATAAATAATACATTAATTATGATGCTATACATATGCTATGATATAATAATAAATACATAATCACAGCAAAACAGAACTGTTTTTTACCTGGATATGAACGTTACACGATACATTTTAATATATTCAAAGATTACTCCTCAACATGACAGGTTGGTAACGCGTTAACTTTAGAGAGAGTTATGTATCATTATCTGGCGTACTGTAAATATGTTTATTTTCATTCAATTAAAATCATTATGAATTGTTTCCAGTAAGAATCAGGAAACAGCAGCTGCGCGTGAAGGCGGCTTGGTCACGTGACGTCACCTCACCTGAGACTAAAGTGAAAGTAAAGCTGGGTTAATATTTACCGTCTCTGGAAAGATTCAACTAAACCTTGCGTCGTCAAGATCCTTTTGGGGAGAACGCGTCTCTGGCCACGTCTGCGTAAGTAGAATAGTAGTTTATATTTAGTTCAGATGAAGAAAACATCTTTATAAGCTTTATTTTCCTTCACCTTTGACCAGGCCGCTCCCGTTTCAGTCTACGCACTTTTTATTTAACCCTGGGCTTTTAAAACTACAAATATCTTCACAGTTCATTGAGATTGAGGCCCATTGAGTAACTTTTACTCCTCTATAATCAGTTTTTTGTCGTCGTTTTCCAACAAACAGTAAAGTTAATCGTCACAGGCCGCTCCCATTTCTTCTCAGGACCTACGCACTTTATTTTCCTACAGTATGTCTGGCTTTTTAACCACTGACTCTTCCTCATGCTGCACTTGCTAAAAGGTTCATACGAGTTTACCTGTATTCTGACCTGTTTGCTTTATTACAGGTCTCTGAGTCTCATTTTCACATCTCTCATGTTAAAAACACTCAAACCGTGTTTTTCATTTGATTTTCTTATTTCTTACAGCCCTAGTTTGAAGCGGACATTCAATACATTTTTTCTATAGTCCTGAATCCCAACAGCAGGCGTCTCAGAGGACTTTTTAAAGTTGTTGATTCCTCTACATCAGAGAATCAAGTTCAAACCCACTGTCCTCTGCATCAGCAAAGAACAACTGAGATTCCTGTGGAGAAAAACCCTCAGGGAGGCCCATAGATCCAGGACTGAGGCTGTAGACCCAGGACCGCGGCTGTAGACCCAGGACCGCGGCTGTAGACCCAGGACCGCGGCTGTAGATCCAGGACCGAGGCTGTAGACCCAGGACCGAGGCTGTAGACCCAGGACTGAGGCTGTAGACCCAGGACTGAGGCTGTAGACCCAGGACTGAGGCTGTAGATCCAGGACTGAGGCTGTAGATCCAGGACTGAGGCTGTAGATCCAGGACTGAGGCTGTAGATCCAGGACTGAGGCTGTAGATCCAGGACTGAGGCTGTAGACCCAGGACTGAGGCTGTAGACCCAGGACTGAGGCTGTAGACCCAGGACTGAGGCTGTAGACCCAGGACTGAGGCTGTAGACCCAGGACTGAGGCTGTAGATCCAGGACCGAGGCTGTAGACCCAGGACTGAGGCTCTGGTTGTCTGTGTGACATGTATAACGTCGTGTGTTGTGGGTAATGTATTTTTAAACTATTATAATTCCTCTTTGTGTCACAGACCTCTGCTCTCCCTGTGCACTGCTACATTTTGGGGATAATGGAGCCTCTCAGTCCTGGTGCAGATCTCGGCCCTGATCTGAGCTCTCTGTGTCTCTCTGAGGAAACATCTGCAAGGTTTGAGTTCTTTTCCATAGTGAGTGGGAGACAAATGTCCATAAATGTCCTTACATGTAACTTATGGTCATTTATCTCCTGATTGAACGATACATTTATAAATATTAATATATACAGTATATTTTACAGCAGGCTTGATTTGGTCGTTCTTTTCAACGCTAATAATGTGTTTTTATGTAGGATTTGTGTTTTCTCTCAAAATTGTAAAAAAAATGTTGCCCATTCTAAATTAATAAATAATAAAAATCATATATAAATATTAACTGTTAAAAATTATCTTCAGGAGGAAAGTGGAAAAATCTGGATCTCAAACCAGACCTGGTCCCAGCTGTGAGTCTCTGAAGAGCGACAGGTCCAAACCGTTGTCAATCGACTTTAAAAGGTGAGTTTGTTCCTGAGTGTGTGCTCCACTGTAACATGCTCTGAACAGACTCTTTGACTGTAGGGACTCGAACCCTCACCCTGCTCTGAGCTGTGGCTCCAGCCTCAGTGACAGCTCTAAAGACTGGCTCGAAGAGTTTAAGAACAGTCCACCTGAGAACATGGGGTAAGTGGCAGCACGGTTAAACCAGATCAAGATCGGTCAACCAACAGGGCAGAATCACAGTCCCCAGAATCGCCACTAAAATGTCCGTCCAGGGCCGACAGGCGGGCCACGTGCACAGGCCAGGGCATTACCACACAATTGGGACATGCACGCTCGGTTAGCGCCTCCCACAGATGGTCCACACCCAGACCCGGACACAGCACATGGCCATCGTCCTGCTGCATCGGGGCCAGACAGGACAGGCAGGCCAACGGCTCAAGCATCCCAGCGAGCGAACACGCAGGAGCAGTCGCTGCCAAGTACAGGGGCACTCCCGGTAGGGTCAGGTCGAGCAGAGACGCCACTAGTGACCCACCGAACGCCTCACAGGTGCAGGCAACAGCCAATACAACAGGGTCAGGTCGAGCAGAGACGCCACCGATAACCCGCAGAAACACGTGGAACACGCGCAGGCAACAGCCAATACAACAGGGTCAGGTCGAGTAGTTACGCCACCAGTGACCGACAGAAGCGCACGTGGAACGCGCACAGGTAATTAACCAAGACACAGGGTTAGGTCGAGCAGAACGCCACTGGTAACCCACCGAACACACGCTGAATACGCGCAGGTAAACAGCACAGGCACAGGCACAAACAGCTAGCAGTTAGCTTCAGACAGACTCATACAACCTGCATGCGAGAAAGTGAAAAGGGACTGTGCTTCCGGTGTCACGTGGCTTTATAGACTCTCGCGTGAGCTACCGGAGGTCACGGGTGACTTTGTTGTTATTTGACTCTCGACCTGTGCATGCGCGAGGATGATCATCCAGTGCTTAAGCACCGCCTCTGGCGGTCAGGAAGGATGAAATAGAACCGAAGGATTTAAGAAGAAGAAAAGTTCAGGATGACAAGGAACACAAAAATTCCCACAAAATCCGACTTTTATGAAAGCTGTAGGTTCTCTGTCAGCTGTTTTAGTTTACTTTGAGTTCTATGAGGAAAATGTCTGTGTAGCCCACGTGAATTTAGTCTGCAGTACGCGAGAATCCCTCAGCTCCAAGCTAGTAACACCCAAACCAGTTATTATAATAGATCCATGTATCATACAGTGGTGTGAATGACAAGATTTTAAATATAGGAAAAAAATATCATAAACAGCTGCGGTAGTGTGTCTTGTCAAGGCAGTAGGTTTTGGTTTGCTTGCCTGTAGGTAATAACCAGCTACAACAGCACCATCTGCTGGTGTACTGCTGGAACAACCACATTACACTTATGAATCTTTTTGACACACGCTTTGCGACAGAGGTGTGTCAAAAAGAGATTTGTGTGTAAAACAGAGCCTGTGCGTAGCACTTAGGCTTTTTTCCGTTCTTCTCTTCGTACAACGTGGTTATTTACACACAGATTGTTCTGTTACAGATACAAATGTCAAATTACACACACAAATCTGTTTACGCACGCACACAGTCCAAGTTACACTTGCGAATCTGCGAAGGCAGGACTGCGTCAAAAGATTCGTGTGTAAAAAAAAAAACGTGTGTGTAAAACTTACTTTTTTTTTCTTTACACACACACAAATCTTTCTACGCACACACAAATCTTTTTACGCACACACAAATCTTGATACGTACATACAAATCTATTTACACACGCACAAATATTTCTTTTACACACACACACAAATCTGGTTACGCACGCACAAATCTTTTTACGCACACACAAATCTGGTTACGCACGCACAAATCTGGTTACGCACACACAAATCTGGTTACGCACGCACACATCTTTTTACGCAAACACAAATATTATTGAAACAATAATAGCTACATACAATTGTTGCCTTTCCTTTTTTACATTAAAGAACTGAACAAAAACAAAAAGAAATAGGGGTGCAGAGAGCCTTTGCATACAAACATGTAATATGTTTTTACACAAAGTCAGATCGAACAGGTTTAACATAATCCGACCACTTGGACCACATTTTATAAAATGACTGAAGTTGTACTCTCAATGAATATGACACCTTTTCCATGATGTAAATCTGTTGCACAATATTGATCCAGTCCTCAGTTGTTGGCCTCTCAGGTTTGAGCCATTTTATGGTTATGGCTTTTTTGCTCGCAGCTAAAAGAATATAGAGCAATTTCCAATTTGTCTAATGCCCCATTTGCCAGATATACATTTTCAAATGACGGGGGGAAAATCTCAGAAGACATTTTGTAGATGTAGATGAACTTCCGACCAGTATTCCTGAATAACCTTACATTCCCCAAAAATATGATCGTGACTTGCTCCGGTTTGGCCACATCTCCAACAAGCGTCACCCACCCCCTGATACTTTTTCTGAGATGGTGTGATTAAAAAAAACGCATTATAATCTTCCAACAAAACCCAAGCCATACGTTTGACCCAGATCCATGATATTTTGCATATGTTTTCCCAAGTATCCTCTGTGTCTGACCTGTAGGTATCTAAAGAAATCTTCTTAGTCCAGCCCATGTTTCTGAGACCCGAGCATTTGTCTGGTGTGCATTTTATATATTTTTTTGCTATTTAGGATAAGTAGGACCCAATAAGTATAATACCTAAATTGTGATTTTGTACAGGAAGTAGTTTTTGAGAAAAAACATGTCCTCGTATGAGGACAGTGGGTCTCTCATAACCTAAAGAGAAAATGTATGATCTTTTAGGCCGGAAGGTCCTAATTAGTTGAAATTCAAAATTTCAGCTTGATCCAATTAGTACTTCTCTCAAAAATCAATGTCCTCACATGAGGACAGTGGGTCGACCTTACTATACAATACAAATAGACTCCATTGGTCTAAAATAGTATATAACAGTTTATTTGAAAAATGTAAACATCAAAGTTAGACATAAAATCCAAACAGCTCTATCTTCAAAGCCTAAAAATGTCATGGTGTGGACATTTTGACCTGGTTGAGTTTGAATCCTGCCTGTCCTGTTGATTGTTGCCCCGCCCTAATGTGATTCACCTGTGTGTCCCTGTGTGTCCCTGTGTGTGTGTATATACCCTGTGCCCTTCCTCACTTGTTGTCCGTCCATTGTCTCCACAATGTTTGTCCTGTCTTCAGTTCTGTTTTTACATTACCTTGGATTTATTTTATTAAATTACTTTGATTTTCAGTCCTGCAATTTGGGTTCCCTTTTTCTTCATTCATCCACATGACAAAAAATTGGCTATACATAAATAAAACCGCAAAATACTGTGTAAACTGTCTATTTCAAGCCTTCAATATGGCTGAATTGAATTGATAAATACAATACTAGAACAAATAATGGCAAATATTATTAACAGTCCTAAAACAGAAAATTCTGCTGAACAGCTTATGAACCGGGGCTTTTTTCAAACTAGCTCCCTCTCTTTTTCTAGAAAGCAATCTGTCTGCCTGTTTGGAAGAGCCCTATTGGCAAGTGTGAAATGCTGCAAAGCAGTTGCATTCACTTTGCAAGCACAGGTACACATTGCATGTCATGCATCGGACACAGGATTTTCCAATGCAGTCTTGTGCTCTGCAACGCATGGGGTTTTTCAAGGCTACCATCTCCGGGTTAGAGTTAGGATTACAATATCCCCAGTCGAGGTCAGCAGCTCTCCACCCGCACCATACACGGTGTTGGCAAAGCACTGCTTCCCCCTCCTGAGGCGCCGGAGGGTTTGCCATAACCTTTTTGAGGGCGACCGATAGTCATGCTCCATGGACTCTCCGAACTCCTCCCAGTGTGGGTTTTTGCCTCTGCAACAGCCCGGGCCGCGGCACGCTTGGCCTGCCGGTACTGGACAGCTGCCTCCGGAGTCCCACAAACCATCATTGCTCGATAGGACTCCTTCTTCAGCCTGACGGCATCCCTTACTGCCGGTGTCCACCACCGGGTTCGGGGATTGCCGCCGGGACCAGCACCAGAGACCTTGCGACCACAGCTACGAGCCGCTTTATTGGTGATAGAGGAAGAGAACATGGTCCACTCGGACTCAATGTCCCCCTCCTCTGGGTCCTGGGAGAAGCTCTCCCGGAAGTGTGAGTTGAAAGTCCGTCTGACAGGGGGCTCAGCGAGACGTTCCCAGCAGACCCTCACTATACGCTTGGGTCTGCCAGGTCTGACCGGCTTCTTCCCCTGCCAGCGGATCCAACTCACGACCAGGTGATGATCGGTTGACAGCTCCTCCCCTCTCTTTACCCAAGTGTCCGAGACACGCGGTCGAAGGTCAGATGATACGACAACAAAGTCGATCATCAACCTCCGGCCTAGGGTGTCCTGGTGCCACGTGCACTGGTGGACACCCTTGTGCTCGAACATGGTGTTCGTGATGGACAGACCGTGACTGGCACAGAAGTCCAACAACTGAACACCGCTCGGGTTCAGATCAGGGGGGCCGTTCTTCCCGATCACCCCTCTCCAAGTGTCACTGGCATTTCCCACATGGGCGTTGAAGTCCCCCAGGAGAATAACGGAGTCCCCGGGAGGTGCACCGTCCAGTACCCCTCCCAAGGACTCCAAGAAGGCAGGAACTCGGCACTGCCGTTAGGCCCGTAGGCCGTCACAACAATGGGAGACTTGTCCCACCCGGAGGCGGAGGGACGCGACCCTCTCATTCACCGGGGAGAACTCCAACACATGGCGGCTGAGATGGGGGGCAATGAGTATGGCCACCCCAGCTCGCCGCCTCTCCCCGTGGGAAACACCAGAAGATGACTGACAGGTATGAGATGATGATACAATCATCCCCATCTGAGAAGTCCTCTATCTCAGAGTTGTCTGCAATTGCCAACAGCAATTGTTCTGCTCTTGACAATGAAAGTGTGCCTGTAATGATAATGTTAAAAACCAACATCAAAATCTACAGTATATCAGTGACACTTCATAGCTTGGCTATCATGTGCTAGCTATAGCCTAGCTATATTGTTTATGATTTAGAATTTAGCAACACTAAACAATACTTAGCATATACCACTTAGTACTTAAATATACTATTTACAACTGTAAACCACATAACTAAGCAAATGT